GTAACCTGTCTAGGTCTGATTGCAGCCTATTCCTCCCTTCTAGCGTGCCCACATCCCCCCACATCTTAGTGTCATCAGCAAATTTGAACAGGTGCTTTTTACCCCCTCGTCCAAGTCACTGATGAAGATGTTGAGCAGCATGGGCCTGAGGACCGAGCCCTGGGGACCCCACTGCCCCCATATTGCATTGTATCATTGTGAAATGCAAACTATTTGAGGGAAATTGCATTGCATGTTAACATCTGATGATAAGAAGTCAGGTCATTGGAGACTGCATCGTAACGCGCACACAAGAGGAATTCATTAAGACTGCACAGGCAGCCTTCGCTCTGCTATTCTCCAGCTCTGGGTCCTTGACTCCTGTGTATTCATGAGCTTACCCTAAAATCACCTAAGCCGGCACATAGCAGCTTGAGGCTGGGAACTCCTGTCTATTTTACAAATAAGGAGGCTAAGTGATTTGACCAAGGCCAAGGAACCAGCCAAGCATTTCATCTCATTACCTTAAGTAAGCAAAGGAGTCTGATCCTAGACAAGTCCTTAGCCTGTTCTCTTCAGGGCATGCTGCCTTGTGTGATGCTTTAATGAGGAGCTGAATCATGGGTTTACTGTGATTCAGGCCCTCATTTCAGAGCCATGGAGAGCATGGCCTGGAGAGCTCCCAATCCCCGCAGCAGAGGAGGACTTTAGGCTGGGATTTTCTGTGGAACATAATGAGCTGGGTGCTGATAATCTCACGCTCCTCTGAAATCCTAGCCTCCTTCTGAACCCCACTGTTCTGGATTTGGAAATGCCTGTAATTATTTATGAATATTGTATCTTGACCCAGTTTCTGTGATGTTTATTCTCTGCATGCGTCGCATTCACTCCGTTGCTGTATTTCTAGGAAATCCACCCCAAAATGGGAAGTGGACCCTACCTATGCCCTTCCAAAGCAAGGGCAAGGTAGGAGCCATTCCCTTGGATGCTCCTGATGGACCTGTCCATTGTATTTTCCCCAGGGGTGACTCAGTCACCCCGAGGGAGCTTGAAGGGATGCCTCAAGGAGAGGCACAATTTGAGAAACCAGATTCCAGAGGTTGGGGTATTTGGGAATTCAGAAGCTGCCGGGTCCCCATCCGTCTCCAGGTGATCCAGATGTGCAAGGAGAGTGTTGGTGGTTAAGATTAGACAGTGCTTCATTAAGAGTAAATGATACTTCAGCTTGTGAAGGATATCCAGGCCCTCTTTTCTCCACAGGTGCTAGTACCTGGCTGTGCTTACTGGGGGCACACGGTTGATGCATAGGGTGTTATAGACCCACGCCCAGTCTAAGAGTGGGAGAATCATGCCATTCCACCCCAGAAGAAGAGACCTGGCACATAAGAGGGTACTCAGGTGGCAGAGAGGTGCACTCGACCCTGTAACCACAACACACACACACCTACACACCTTTCCATATGCACCGAGCCATACCAGTGGAGTTATTCCTTTGTAACAGGGTGAAAAGATGCACCCAACCAGCTGCAGCTTGGATGCAGATTTACTCCAGTCAAAGATGTGCCTGCGAGGGATGAAGGCGTGGGTGATCAGAGTAGGACACCTGGGGGAGGAGGGCAGGCCCCAGCAGCTTGGGGCTGGAGTTTAGGTTGGGGGAATGAAGTCAGAAGTTGAGATCAAGATGTGTAGGCAGGCTGGGGATTTCAGAGCTGCAGTCAGGATGGGGGAACCAGAAGCAGGAGCTAGGTCAGGCCTAAGCAAGGAGCTCCTTCAATAGGCCAGAGGCATGGCACAGCTGCTGCTGCTCCAGCCAGCTTGCTGCTGTCTGCTCCAGCCTTCCTGCAGCCCTGAAGGATGACTCATGCTGATCCCTGACTGCTTCCAGCCAGGAACTATGGCTAAATCTCCCCCAGACAGGGCTGAATCTCCCCCAGACTGGCTCATTATCCTGGCCCTCTGACCGGGAAGCCACCAGATCTGTGAAAGGCAAACACCTTTGGCCTCTTTTGTTTGCCCTGAAGTAGATCATCATCTTTCCAGACTGCTTCTTCCCGTGTGTGCGGCTCCTATCACAATGCCATCCCCATGCTGACTGCGGCCTTTGGGCACTGCTTTAATCCAAATGCTTATTGATACAAGTAATAATAATTCCTGCTGCTTCCCGCAGACACTTATTCTCAGTTCTGCTTGGTCTTTTACTGGAGCCTGCATGTTAAGCAGAAGCCCAATGGACACATAAAACAAATTGAAAATCTTTTATGCCGTTGTTTTGCAATAACAGTCCTAAGTACAGGGGTTATTGTTTGTTTGCTCTGCCATGGCATGGAGCGACCACCTCCAAGA